TCTCCTAGGAGTTGATGGCAGACTACTTTCACAGAAATATTTAGCCACTGATATGCATTCATTTCTGCCAGAAGGCAGAAGATGTTTTCAATTGGTGTTTCCTCCCCTCCAAACTGTTCTTGCCCCTCCATTGGAGATTTTATTTGTGTTTTCTGGCATGTAATGCACAAGCAGTTTTGCTCTGTTGGGCTCCAAGGCAGCTCCAGTGGCTTCACAGGGGTAACATTTCATCTGCTTCCAGAAATGGAAGTGAGGTTTATTGGGGTGATTTCTTTATAAGTAGCACTTTCCACTACAGAGGAGAGCAGATTGTATTTAGAGCTTGATATTTTATTTCAGTATAAAGACTAGGGGGGAAAAAAAAAACAAAAACAAAAAAACCCAAAAAAACTCACAAAAAAAACACCAAACACAAAACAAAAAAAACCCCACCCAAAACAACAACAACAACAAACACCACCACCACCACCCCCCCCACACACACACAACAAAAAACACCAGAAAAAAGGAGCTGGCATGTGTCACTCTTCCTGTAAAGTGACACAGACCTAATGTCCTTTCCCTCCCCAGTTACTGGTACATTGGGTTCAGCAGCCTGATGCTTTCCCTTTCTTTGACAGATCTGGTTTCTGCCCTGGCATCTCTGGAGAATGGCACAGCTCTGCAGTCCCAGCACCATCCTGGAGGTGAGTCATGCAAGGAGCTAAGTGTGTCTTGAAACACTGTCCCAAGTTGAGTGAGCTGACTGGGTCTGTGCTGGACATCACCTGCTCATTAAATTTAGAAATCAGAGGAGGTTGTTTCTGAGTAGTAACCACTCTGAAGATGTTAGGTTTTTAAGATACCACTGCAATCCCACAGTTGTTCTTTGGCCACTTTGTACCTCTCCTGAAGAAACCTGATTTCACACACCTATTATAAATGCTGGCTTGTTCAAGTATGAGCATTACTTGTTGGCTAATTAAGGAAAGAATTTTCTAAGGTGAATGAACTTCAATTCCTCCAATACATTCCAATGGGCACCTTGTGACTACTGGAATCAGAAACCTGCAGAAGCCCTGCTCCTGAGACCAGGGAGAGAAGCAAAACTCCCTTCTGGGAGTACTAGCAACTAGGCAGTGTAATGCTGGGCTTACATGGGCAGAGCAAGCCCCAGAAACAGCTTGCAAAAAGGAGTCGATACAGAAGGAGCCTGAGCTCTGAGCCTGAGAAATATTGATGAATAAATAGGTTTTAAACAGCAGACCAGAAAATTTGTGCCAGCCTGGGTTCAGCCAGACCACTGCAGTTTATTTGAGCTGATCCCAGAGATGGGTGAGAGAAGTGGGCTTTTAGATTCCGTCACAAATTACGACGATACCTTTAGGAAACAGAATAGCTAAAGACACGTGAATGTGATTGGCCATGCATTATTGGGGTTTATACTTTTTTTCACCAAAAGATCAATTCTAGTATTCAGCAATGAGCATTAACTAAGGTTTGTTTTCACCTGTTATTTAAAAACTTGTTCTTCCTGATGCATAGCCTCTGGAAATACCCACGTGGCACTGACTTGCATGAGCATGTCCTCATGGATTTGTTCTGCTAGTGCTGATGTTTTAGGACTAAGTCATTTAAGGAGCCTGTTGGTGTTATGTGGATTTGAACATGCCAGCATCTTGTGTCTCCTGGTAGATGTGCTGTTTGAAGTAACTATTGAAGTCAAACCCAAGGACTGGATTCCTCATGGTGGAAGTGAGCTCCAAAAGGGTCTTCTTGAATCTGTGAAGAACCATGTAAGTCTGGGTATGGGGAGGTGGAGAAAAACACATGTGATGTCCCAAATCTTCAACTAGAAGAGACCATGCTGTGCCACGCACTCCAGAGATTTTCTGCTAAAGCCACATGATGAACCATTTTCTGAGTTGTTTGTGCTGTTCATCATCTGAGGCCTGCTTTCAGGGCTGCACCTAAACTTTCTTTCTGGAATGCAGACTGGAGCAGCTACAGGGTTTGGCCTCCTGCTTAGCCTGGAAAGCTGCTATCCTTCAAGTGCTGCTCTGCAATGGCTTCATACCCACTTCCCTGGGGTTACTATTGCCCTTCCTTTTTCCAAATTCACTTTTGTGTGAATGGGACATCTACTGCATCCCAGGTGGTTTGGGAGGGGGACAAGCAGGATGAGGAGGTAGACTGAGAAAAGAAACTGCTGTCATACTCCTGTCAAATGTCAAATCCACACTGGTCGCTCTGTTCCTTTGCAGATACAGAAGAACCTGAAACTTTCTGCCAACAGAGTCAATGAAATAAAGTTAAATGATGTCAAAAGGTAGGGTCACTGCTGTGCTGTTACGGCCTATCTTGGCAGGTGACTGCTATTACCTGTAATATTTCTTTGATTGCATTGTCTGGGTTCTCATTTTCCTTCCCCAGGGAGACACATGTGCTTGCTCCTCTCCTGTGATCTGTAACTTGTCCTGAAATTAGGGAAAAAAAAAAAAATCTGTTTTCTAGAGGAAAGATGGTGAAAATTGATGTTTAGTGCTAGCTTGGGCCTACATTTTTCTGGAGAAAAATGAGAATTCTCACAGTTGCCCCACAATGCCTGCTGGATAAAGCTGGGAGCTGCCAGCAAGGTCCCACCACACTTGACCGAGCTTTTCTGGGACTTCAGATTGCCACTACAATTCACCTTACACAAATATCTAGTCACATCAGCCTAGCTCCAAATTGGGCTTTCCTTTTTCCCTTTGTCCAAGTGCAAAGCTGCCTCTTGTCACAAGTAATTTTTGCAAGAGCCTGCAGCGCCACAATCCAATAGGAGCGGGTAGAAGGTCTAAAAGGGCTATCAGATCTGAGCCTGGACTTTTTCCTCCTGTCTTACCCTGGGCTCTCTCCCACCTGCAGCACAAGGGATGCCAACCTGCTGCTCACCTTCTGGCTGCATCTGAAGCCGGAGGAGAGGAATGTGTCTCTGCACCTGCGCTCCCAGCTGGAGGAGCTGCTTGGCAACTCAACAGGAGCAGAGAAGCTGCAGCTTGTTTCGCTGTTTGTTCAAGGTGGGTGGTTCACTTTTTTTTTTTTCCCCTGGGACAAACCCTTTTATGCCAAGCCTGACCTGATTTAGGGCATCTGTTCCCCATCACAGACGTGAACGAGTGCAATGCCGGGGTTGGCCTCTGCGGGGAGGAGGCAGAGTGCTTCAATGGCGTGGGCAGCTACCTCTGCCGCTGCAAACAGGGCTACGAGGATCATTCTCCCACCAAGTCGGGCACCCTCTGCATCCGCGCCCCCCGATCAGGTACAGGACAAAACAGCGGTTCTGCTTTCTCCTGCAGCTGGGTGTTTTCTTGTATGTGTGGGTGAGTAATTGGTGGACTGCTGTATGTGATGTTACTGAACTGGTGGCTTTAGATGTCCTTGCCCTGTGTGGCAAGGATGTATAATATCTCTGCGAGGCAGTTCGCAGCTGGCACGGTAACCTCTCCATGAGCTTCCCTTTCCCCAGTCTGCTACTTCCCCTGTATCAGGGTTACAACCTGGCACGTGAGCCTTGAAGTTATAAGCAAAGTCAAGGTCAAGGGTGACTTATGAGCTACCTCTGCTGTAACTGATGTGATCAGCATCAGGCCACTCCTGGTAGTGCCCTGTGTTCTGCTGTCACACTGTGAAGATCTTGGTGAGAAGGACATTCGTGTTCCTGGTGTTTACCCCAGAGCTCCCCCCCCCCGATGTATTTGACACAAGGCTGAGCAGATGGCACGTGGTGCTTGGCTGTAATCAGAGATGGCTAATCCAGTCTTGCAGATTAATGGGGCCTTGCAGCCTGAAAAACATCAGTATTCTGCAGTATGTACTCAAAACTCTGCTGCTGCTTTACCAAAACTACTTCACATCCCTGCAGCAGCTTAAACCTCAATGTGAGGCAAAATATATAACTGTGAACCAAATATAATTTCATACCTATGCTACCAACTGCAAGTTAATTAACAAGATGTGCAGTCTAAGTCTATCCAGATCAGCTGGTTATTGTTATATTCAGGTATAGGTGATTTTATAAATTCATTTATCCATTGAGTCATGGAGGGGGTCTCTTCAGACCTGGAAGGGAATGGCAGCAGGTCTTTTAGTCCTTGTGAGTTTGACAATGCCTCTACTCTGTTGGTTCTCCTGGGGGTAACACCATGCCTGTGATGCTCCTGCAGGCTTGCTCTTGGTCTAAATATTTCTTTGGGATGGATGTCTGGGAGTGATGCTCTGCCCTCAGGGCAGGTGTGAGGGTTTCTGGACAGCAGCAGGCGAGAAGAGGTTGAACTTCCTGGAGGAGCACCCACAAATCCAGGTCTCACCCCTGAGCACTGCAGTCAAAATACAGGGGGCTTTGTGGGTGCAGTGGGGGCCTCTGGGGCAATGGCCCCTGCAATGAGGCCGTGGCCTTTCTCTGGCAGGGATCAGCTTCTTCCTCCGTCACTCTGACACCGTGGTGGGGGCAGCCATCGTGGCTGTCCTGGTGATGCTGGCGGCTGCTGGTGTCCTCTGTGTGACAGCCATGTGGAGATGGCATCCCAAGAGGAGCCCAGGCCTCGAGGAGCCATCAGTGAGGGCCGTGGAGGAGCCAGAGATGGAGTTACATGACCTGGGGGAGTGCCTGCGCCTGGACCCCTTCCAGCTGAAGCTGCGGGCCAGGCACCCTGAGTGGCTGTGGCGTGTCCGTGCCCACCATGGCCAGGCATGCCAAGTCTTTCTGGAGCAGTCTTCCCCACTCTGAGAGAGTTGCAACCCCTCCTGTGGCCTCAGTGATCCGTGCAGTCACTCCTGCCTTTCCCAGCTGACACAAGCCACTGGCTGTGCAAACCCTTCTGCTGTGTTTTATGGACCATGAATATCCCACAACAGTGTTCCTAGTCCTGTAATTTCATTTTTTTTTTTTAATATTCACTCAGCAAAATGCTTGCTCCACACTGCTGTACATCTGCTGATTTACCCCTGCTCAAAAGCTGCACAGAACTGTCAGCATGTGAAAATTAAACACTTTTTATTTTTAAGGAAAAAAAAAAGGAAATAAGATGTTTTGGTGTTTAATTTAAGAAATTAAAAGTTATTCTGCATCCTGCTTGGTGCTGCCTGCTTTCTCCTGCCCCTCAGGCAGAGCTCTATGGGAAGCCTTGGCATGACCTGAGTGACCTGTGGGGTGTTTCTTCCACCCTGGCTGAGGAACACCTCCAGAACTTGACTGAAAGTCAACAGCATGGATGCTGTTTGTCGGGATGCTGGCTGCAAAAAGCACCACCATCACCCCAATCATAAAGCACGGGTGCCCTCCCCAGCTTGTCCTGCAGCTGGAGGCTGCTAACGTCTCTATTTGTTTGGTTTAGGGGGGTTAAAATTTGGATTACCTCTTTTCTCAGGGAAGAAGTGTGCGTGGTATGATGGCAAACGCCCCACTGGAGGGAGCTGTCTGCCACCAAAAACCCAGGGAGAGGGTGCTGGATGCAGCTGGCCTGGGAGAGGCTGCCAGATGTGGGACACGGATGGAGCTGGGGGGTCCCTGAATGAAATAGGACCAGTTGGTGCAGCTCGTGGACAATCTCTTTGTGCTTGCTGAGCAGCTTTGGCCAAGCAGCGCCGTGGAGGTGTAAGCTGAAGGAAGAGGTTTGCTCATGCACATCTGTTCAGCTCAGGGTTTGGAAAAGGTCCTGCTGTGTTTCTCTGAAGGGAAATGGTGAGGATATGGGTGAAAAGATCTTTCCCTCTTTTCCATCCCCTGCTCCCTAACCCTGCCCTACAACCCTATCCCCCCTCCCCAAAAGGCAGTTATTTTATCTTAGCTGTTGAACTGGGGAAGAAGCAACATTTGCAGTGTGGAGGGGGAATTCCCAAAGGAGAGGGCTGTGGTACAGATGGGGGCATTATAAATGGCAATCTTGTGAAAATCAGGTGAGAGCATGTTATTTGCACTGAGATGATAAGCAGGCATCCCCTATGCTTGGCTGGCAGCTGCAGTGCCCCTCTGCCAGGGGATGACTGTGTTGCTCTCCAATAACAGGCTCATCCAAATTAGCTAATGCTGCTGGGGCCCTGCTGCCTGCAGAGATATGTGAAGCAGAGCTAACACCTCTCTGTACATACTCCCCTAACAGCAACTCCCTTGAGCACCGTTTAGTGCTATCCAGGTTTGGGTACTGAGAAGGTTAGAGAAAAAGGGCTCTCCTAAAGCCACTCTGATCATTGCTTCCTTTGACATATGTGGAATGATCAGCTCTTATCAAGCGCTTTCTTTGCCTGGTTTTCAAAGTATTTTGCAAACAGCAGACAATTAAACGCAAACATCTCCCTAGGAGGCAGATAAGTGGGTGTAATTTTCCATTGTAAAGAGAAGGAAACCATTAATGGGTTTGCACAGTGTGCTTTTTTCCTCACTGAGATCAAAGAAAAGCAGCAGGGGCTAAAATAATACTGTCATTGTCTTGGCCTTGGATTTGGTCAGTCACCATCTCCCCTTTTCCCTCCTTGGTTCCATGAAGGGAAGTCTGGAGCTCTTCAGGTTGGAAACTCTGCTCTTTGCCAGTAAAGTAAGGTTTGGATACCAAATTCAAGAAATGAACGAGCAGATTGATGCTTTTGCTCCCTCCAGTTTTCCAGGAGCAAGGTGAGCCTCGCACACTGTGCTCCTGTGTGGGAAGCCAGCTCCTCTAACACAGCTGTAGTCTGCTCTGTAACCCAGGTGTGAGACTCTTACTGGACCATCTTTCCCTGCAGCTTTTCATCCAGGCAAAATGTCCTGCTGATGCTCCTGCACAGGCACAGGGGATTGAGTAAAAGCCCAGAGAAGCAATGTGCCCAGGCAGGGCTTTTGCTTTCTGCAGCCAAACCCATGACAGCAAGGGGTCCATCTGGGTTTTGTGTGAAAGCAGGAGGTGGAGGTGGTGCCTGCCCTTCATGGCTGTGCCTTGGAGAGATGTCAGGCTTTTACTGGAAGCATCCAAGGTGCATGTGCGATTTTTATGCAAAACACAGCAAGACAGATCCAGACATCAAGCCCATCATAAGCAATAGGTGTTATGGTTTTCCCTGTTACAAACATCCACCATTTCAGTCCCCACTAATGTTGCCTTTTATTTTCTACTATGTCCAAAGAAGTATCATGCAGCCCTGTTTTGCTCCAGGAAGAGCCCATCCCTCCTTTCTTGATCTCCCAATTGATTTGAGAGGGGCTGACTTCACAGAATCACAGAATGGGTCAGGTTGGAAGGGACCACAGTGGATCACCTGGTCCTACCTCCATGCTCGAGCAGGGTCATCCCAGAGCATATGGCACAGGATTGTGTCCAGATGATTCTTGGATATCTCCAGTGAGGGAGACTCCACAGCCTCTCTGGATGATCTGTTCCGATGCATGGTCACTGCACAGTAAAGTTCTTATGTTCAAGTAGAACTTCCTGTTCATCTGTTTTTGCCCATTGCCCCTTCTCCTGTTAGTTGGCACCACTGAGAAGAAACTGATCCGTCCTCTTGGCACCCTCCCCCAAGGTACTGATAGATGTTGATGGGGTCCCCTCTCAGTTGTCTCTTTGTGAGGCTGAACAGGCCCAGCTCCCTCAGCCTGTCCTCATATGAGAAATGTTCCAGTCCCCTAATCCTCTTTGTAGCTCTCCACTGGATCTGCTCCAGGAGTTCCTTGTCTTTCTTGTCCTGAGGAGCCCAGAACTGGACACAGCACTCCAGATGTGGCCAGATCAGAGCTGAGTAGAGGGGCAGGATCACCTCCCTCAAGCTGCTGGCAATGCTCTTCCCAATGCACCCCAGGATATTGCTGGCCTTCTTGGCCATAAGGGCACTGCTGGATCATGGACAGCTTGTTGTCCACCAGGACTCCCAAGTCCCTTTCTAAAGAGCTGCTTTCTAGCAGGTCAGCCCCCCAGCCTGTACTGGTACATGGGATTGTTCTTCCCCGGGTGCAGGACCCTCCAATTTGTTGAATTTCAGACCGTTTTTCTCTGCCCAATCTCTCCATCCTGTTGAGGTTCTTCTGAAGGGCTGCACAGCCCTCTGGGGTATTCCCATACTGAATACCCAAATCTTCTGGGTATTGTCCCATACCACTCTGGGGTATCGGTCACTCCTCCCAGCTTTGTGTCCTCAATGAACTTGCTGAGGAGGCATCTACCCCTAACTTCCTTCCCTCTACTGCAGGTCAGGGTATTGGCAATTTCTCTTTTCTCTCATCTGCAGTGAATGAATTAATAGACAATAAGACAAGTCTGCTGGATCTGTAAATCTGAGTTTGGTCACTGCAGTCAGAGATTGACTGGAAAGCTCTGCTGCTTCTGACATCCAAAATGAATTTGTCACCTCACTGTGCAGCACTCTGCTTGCTCACAGCCCTTGGCCGTGTGAAATGACACACTCTGATTTATGGACCATCACAAATGATTCTTTTTTTTTTCTTTTTGCAGTAGGAACTGTTCTCTCATGCATTATTGCTGCACGATCATGATGTGTGCAGGTGTTTCGGAGGTTCCACGATTTACTTGGAGACTGGAACATGTCCTGGGAGCTGCAGGGGAGGAACAGTATTTGAACATCAGCTGATTTTTTTTTTTAATAAACATTTACTAAGCCTGATTGAACACATTCTTCCCAAACACTTCATCTGTTTTTTTTTCCTGGGTTTTGAAGCCAGGAGGGCGGGCCTCACCTAGCTGCAGAGCACTGTCCAAAGCACTTGGACACAAATCGTCAAGTTAGGGCAGATGATGCAGAGGCAGCTCCTTGTGGGAGACCCCTCGTCCTCTCCATTTGCACCTACCTCACCAGAAAAGCCATGAAAAATGGGAGACATCTCACCCAACGTGTGGTGGCAGTGGCTGGTACCTTAGCCTGAGTAGTGAAAGCAACAAATATAATGTGTGGGGAGAATGGCTGTGAAGGGACATGCTGGAATTGAGTTTGATTTTCTTTCCCACAAGCAGGAAAGAGCTGGGAAAGGGATGTGGGTGCTCACAGTCTGCTGGGACGCCACTCCTGTATCTTTGCTGCCTGTGAATGTCTGCCGGTTGGTAGAGGCTGGAGTATCACTGCTGTTATTGTCATGCTGAGGGAGATCTCCAGAGGCTCAGATGTCCTCGTGTGACCTAGAGGATTTAGGAGGACACCTCTCATCAAGTACTACTAGAGCTTTGCTGCCAGCAGGGAAAAGTGAAATTGTGGAAATGTGGCTTTATGCTGTGGTTTGAATGGCACTGGGCTGGTGAGGCTGCAGTATAACCACAAACTGAGGACAATCCCTCCTGGAGAAAGTATTTTTTGCCATATCGGCACAAGTGCAGAAACTTTTACTGGTATTTTGTTGACTGGGTGATACTTGCCCAAGTCAGTGACTGTGATACAGAAAAATGCAGTAAATATGGCTAAGAAATTACTTGGAAATGATGTGGAAAGCCCTATCTCCTGGAAAGCTCAGGCTGCTTATGAGCAGTGATTTCCCATGGAACTTCTCACAGGGTACCCCTTTGAGAGCCAGTGATGGTGGTTTGAAAGCCCAAATGCTGCCACTTAGATGGTGAGATAGCCATTCCTGATGTACAGAGCCTTTATGTGATCCCAAATCTCTCATCTTCAGCCAGAGCTGGGCTGCTGGAGAAGGTGTAGGTGGGGCCACGTCAGCTGACATGCAGCAAGGCAAGCAAATGGTCAACTGCAGGAAAGGGGTAAGCACGGGGAGGGCAGGCTTAGAAAGACCGTGGCTTGGCATCTGAGCAGCTTTAG